AAAGAGTGTCACGACTCAGTTCTTGCAGGACACCCTGGAATCGAAAGGACGTACCTCAAGGCAGCTCAATTATATTATTTTCCAGGTATGCGTAGAATTATAACAGACTATGTTAAATCGTGTGTAGATTGTCAACGATATAAAACGGCGAATGCAAAACCGCCAGGCCTCCTCCAGACGCCAGTGTTAAACCAGCGTAGCGAGGTATTGGCTGTAGATCTATTTGGCCCATTACCTGAAGGTGAGAACGGTGAGCGATGGATCCTTCTAATTGAGGACACAGCAACGCGTTGGATAGAACTTTTTGCCCTTCGAGAAGCAACTGCTGAAGCTTGTGCTCACACACTCATTGAAGAGTATTTTCTCAGGTACGGAATACCCCGGCGAATAATATCTGATAACGGCGTACAATTTATCGGAGCAGTAATGAAACAATGCATGCATGTCCTGGGTATTAAACAAAATTTTATTCCGCTTTACCACCCAGAAGCTAACCCTGCTGAGCGGAAGAACCGAGACCTAAAGGTCCTCCTCGGACAACTCGTTGGAAATAAACATCCAAGTTGGCCCAAGAAACTCCCGGTGATTCGGTATGCTATGAACAGCGCTGTTTGCCGATCTACCGGTGCAACACCAGCATACCTCATGTTCGCTAGAGAAATGAGATCTCCGAATGAAGTATATTTAGACATTCGAGCCATTCTTGAAAAAGAAAATTATTTTCCACAGGTAACTCCTTATCTTCGGTCATTTATTCATTTTCTGTCAGAAGTCCGAGAACGCGTCGAAAGCCAACAAGACAAAAACAAGAAGTATGCAGACCATTCCCGACGACCTGCAGACAAATTTCAAGTAGGTGACCTAGTCCTTATAAAATCTCACGTACTAAGTAAAAGTTCAAAAGAGGTTACATCTAAATTTGCCCCTAAAAGAGATGGACCTTATTGTATAAACAAGAAGGTTAGTCCTACAACCTACACAGTTTCTCCAGTCGATAAGCTTGACGAGACCTTAGGCAAGTACCATGTGCGTGATTTAACTATTTACCATGGTTCAATTAATTCTCCTCCGGAACCGGTCGTTCCCAAGCGGAATCGCGGACGTCCCGCTAAGGTTAGGATGCTAGTCCAGAAACGAGGGCGTACTCCTGAACTAGAGGGGGAGTGTATAGCAAACCGGAAAGCACGTCTACCAACTAGAGTTTCTCGCGGGCGGTTGCCAGCCCGGTTTCGAGATGGTTCGATCGCACGGGCAACTTAACGAACATCTCACGCGCGCCACTGCGCTAGTGAGCCACGAACTCTCAGAGTGAACGCGCGCGCGCTATCGTATCAATTGTAACTACGTTCTGTGCAATCTCACTGTACAAAAAAGGTGAAATAACAAATTATTTAGATCAAGATTTGTTTTCTTTTCGAACCCTGAGAAATATCTCTCAAAAATATCATTAAACATCTGTAGTATCTCAATTCTTTGGAGGGTTTTTAAACTAAAATATAAACATTAAATTTAGACCACCATAACAGTGTCCAGTATTTTTTTATTTAATGTTTTGTTTTATAACAACACAAACTGGTCGCGCTCATTAATAAATTTTTCATGAAATTGAGCGGACTGTAGAACTCTATAGGAAATATATGCGTGGTATGATTTAAGGAGAAAGAAAGAAAGCATGCAGCGACTTACACCAGAGCAGCTCCAAGGCGCGATTTATTATCAACGCACACAAAGCGTTCACGCCGGCGAGACCCAGATGATGGATCTAAACTGCAAGTCACTATTTCCACTTAAATTCACCACTGAAGCACGACAATCTTCTATTTTTAGTACTACGGATCAATTCCGGGCATATGCGATGCCAATTAATAAGATTTTCAGCCAATTAATACGCAGAAAGATCGAGTTCGCGGCGGAGCCATATTCAAACTGACTTTTCTTGTCTTGACCGCTAGATGGCGACAGACGTCGCTGTGGGCGCTGCTTTCAAATGCTTTAAGGAGGTGGAGTTTGGAGTTTTACCACGCATGAAATAATTAAATTAAAATTATAATATATAACTGGCGTTAACATAACCGCCCGCCCTTAAAGGGTCACCTTTAAAAAGTATCCATAAGGACAAACAAGAAAATTTATGACCAAGATGAACACTTTATAGTCATAGCGAAATAAAATATCTTAAATAACTAGACAAAAATCTTAAATTTTGCGATACGATACGATAAATATTTAACGTAAAATCTATTTTAAACTTAAATTAGAGCTTTATTTATGATGCTAAATAAATTATTGCCTCGGTAAAGGGCATAGACGAACAACCGGTCGGAGATAAGTTCCTTTCACGGTTCTGACAGTAACTATACGTACGACGCCATCCTTGGAGGGATGAACTTTTTCTATAATAGCTAATGGCCAGGCTAGAGGCGGCGCATTATCATTTATTACGATTACAACTCTACCCGGAGTGACAGGAGTGGAAGAGGTATTCCACTTTTGCCTAACCTGCAAGTTATGAAGATATTCCATCCTCCACCGACTCCAAAACGATTTAACTAAATTATCTAAAAGTGAATGTCTATGAGTCAAACTAACCGTATCTAATTCGACTACGGGTGCGGGCAGCGACATTAAAGGAGCTGTATTTAAAAAAATTACTCGGTGTGAGAGCCGAAGGCTCCGCGGGGTCAGAGCTGAGGACCGTCAGTGGACGAGAGATTAGTAGCAGTGTGACCAGATTATTTTTTACGAAAATACCGAAGCACCTCAAAAAAATACTGAAATATACCAACTTGAACAGGAAAAATATACCAATAAAAATACTGATTTTAAAATTTTAAAGTTTAATCAATCATCACAATAAATGTTAGAATTGTATTTTAACATTCTATTTGAGGGATTAAAATCAACACAACCTCCTTGATCTTTTACACCTTGCTTTGTATGTAAAATTGCTGATACATTTTTGTTTATAAATCTGTTTCTTTGTTCCGTTTTTATTAAATTTATCTGTGAAAATATGCGCTCGCATGCAGCATTCGATACCGGTATACATAACAGAGATTTACTGAATGCAGTTAAATTTTTGTACTTGAACGTGCCATCACTATTAGAAATTTTCTCAACTTCCACCCAAAATTGTTCACAAGAAAGGGGTGAGCCAGAACTCGAAGATTGTAACAAATCACTTACTTCGCGATCAAGTTTAAGGGTTCTATATTCTTCATCAATTAACTGCATTTGTTCTGGCTGTACTTCGTATGGGAAAGTTTCTATTATATTTCTTAAACTGCGAAATTCTTTATTCACGGCAGTGTGTGGGTCGAGAAATTTCAGTTCTCGGAAAATTTTATTATCAAAAGGCAAACGTGATTTTAATTGTGTGCTCAACTCAATTAAAAAAGATTGGCACCTTCTGAAAAAATCAGCAATTTGTTCTTTCATGTTTATGTTTTCCCTGTGTTTGATTAATTCTTGACCCACTCGGATCCCTAAGTACATATCATTTAATGGCAAATAATTTATAGTAGACTTTGGGTCTAATGTAAATACGTTGTCCGTGCTTTTGATATAATTAGTTTTCATGAAGCAACCCAAAATCGACAAGTACATACTAGATGCATCATCGTATAATTTTTCAATGCACGGATAGTCGCCTTGAAAAATTATGTTAAATTTGTTAACAATCGGCAAAATGTATTGGGTTGGCACAAAAGTAATGAGACACACTAGAAAAATCTATAACATTTCCTTTTTAAAATCAATTTTTTCGATAATATTCTAGAATGTTGTAGAAAATTCTAGGTACTTCTGGTGTAGGGTATATAAAGCCGCGCTCGCGATTTGTTTAGTCAGTTTGAAGAAAAATGGACGAGCGACAAGTTCGAACACTATACTTATACGAGTACTTGTTAGGCCACAGTGCGCGGGCTGCAGCTGACAATATCAACAATGCATTAGGCGCTGGAAGTACAAGCCATGCGACGGTGTCCCGATGGTTTGAAAGTCAGCCACGCTCAGGGCGACCACCCGCAGTGAATGATGACGATTTGCGCCGCGAACTGCAGTTGAATCCGGATGCTACCACTCGTGAATTAGCGGAAGCACTTAAATGCAGTCACCACGCCGTGGAACACTATCTGCATGAGCTTGGTTATCGAAAAGTTTTGGCTCGGTGGGTACCGCACATCCTTACAGACGCCAGTCGTGCAGTCCGTGTCGCTATCTGTCAGTCACTTTTGCTGCGACCCCGACGTAAAGAGTTTTTGTCAGATCTGGTTACTGGAGATGAATCATGGATTTATTACGAGAACGATACACGTCGTGCTTTTTGGCTGCCTCGAGAAGAAACGCCACCAACTCAACCGAAGCCGAGTCAAAAGAACCGCCGAAAAATTCTGCTTTGCTGTTTCTGGGATGCGCAAGGCATACTGTTTTATGAGCTATTACACAATGAAACTATAAACGCTGACAAATATTCAACCCAGCTTACCAAATTATCTGCCGCTATCAAGAAAAAACGACGAAGACGAGTCAATGTAGTTTTACTGCACGATAACGCTCGACCTCACGTCGCATCTGTGGTTCGCCGGCAGTTGGAGAACTTGGGCTGGGAGACGATACCCCACCCACCTTATTCCCCAGACCTCGCCCCATCAGACTATCATTTGTTTAGAGCCCTGAAACAGCATTTGCGGGGTAAACAATTTAATGATTTCTCTGACGTAGAGGCGGAGTTGAACAACTTTTTCGAGGCACAGCCATCAGAGTTCTGGGCAAAAGGCATCCAAACTTTGCCGGATCGTTGGCAAGAAGTCTTAGATACTAATGGTAATTACATCATTGACTAAACTTTTTTTATTGTAATAATAATAAAAAAGTAGAAACTTAAACCAAGTGTCTCATTACTTTTGTGCCAACCCGATAATTAAAAAAGTAGAAGTACAATTTGTTTATATCACTGGTAAAAAAATTATATATCATTTCTGATGATAGAATGCGATCACTCAAGTATTGGTCTTTATCAATTCAAGAAAGAACAACGGCAGTGCCCTCCATTGCTCAATTATTCTACTAACACAAGCATGAGGCGATAGCCACCTTATATCATAATGACGTAATAGTCTATGGTTTTCAGTGTCAGTGAAATTTTGGAACTCAGCAAATTCTCTTTGACGCTTGCTGCTTTGAGAAAAATATCCATATACTTCTTTTATCATCTGTTCTAAATTTCTAGGCAGTATTTTGCAAGCATGGCTAACACTTAATGCTGCAGAGTGACAAACACATTTTATGAAAAAGCACTTTGGGTTCACTTCTTTAATTTTTGCAACAATGCCAGAATGTTGACCAAACATCACATTCGTAGTATCAGCAGCGAATCCCAACACATCTTTTATATCTAAACCTAATTCGGATAACTTTGATGACAAAGCATTAAATAAATGATCTGCGGTCTCACCACTTAAATCAACTAAATCAAGGAATTTGGTTTTTACTGTACGTTCGGTTTCAGAGAAGTATTTGATTACTATCGCCAATACTTTGACTGTGGCAACATCTGTACTTTCGTCAATTACAATTGAATAAACTGGTTTACCTGACGGAGATGCAGTACGAAGTATGTCTACAATCATATCTTTTTCAAATTCGGGTCCTAAAACGTTATAAGTTATAGCGGCTGCTTTGGTCCTCTTGCAGGAAAATTCTTACGCAATTTCGGAGTAGGGAAAACACTTTACTAGAATTTCACTAAGATGGTCCATAGCTCTAAAAGGGATGTTGTGTTCTGCAAAAAAACTGCAAAAACGGAGTTCAGCTTTCTTGACTTCGTCTTTCAGTGGTACCTTTCTAAAAAATTTATCAACCTGGAAACAAATAAAAAAAATGTTAGCATAGACCACCCACTAATAAAAACATCTCCAGAACAACAACAACAGAACTTCTTGACTTTAGCTACAGTAATGCTATATATATCAATGTATGCTTACCTTTGACTGTCCTTTATATTTTTTAAAGTTCGATTTATGCTTTTCACTATTTGCATGTTGTTTTATAGATGCTAATCTACTTTGGAGTTTCGCACTGCATGCTTTGCAAAAGGTGGCGTACTCGTCATCTTTATAACGTGAAAGCCACGAAGAAAACTCCGGAATTTGTTCCCACTTAGCCAAATAACTTTGCTGAAAACTAGACATTTCGTTCCGGACGGATGCGTCAAGTAAAATAAAAACAAAAGGAAAGCGCTCTATTTATATGATGACAAAAACGTACTACAAAGGGGAAATTCCCGATTTATCGAAAGAATAACTTCAAAGATTAAGTTAAGTACAGAACAGAAACTCATTTTATTTAAACCGTATTAGATGATTCGATACTATTAATAATTTTACTTCGGCGGACGCTGTTAAACCCTTGATATTTGAAGCTAGGATAGTTTCATAACTATTAACTATCAATATTCCCATTGTTGTTATTATCATTTAGTAACCTTTTGACATACTAAGTTCACTTATCAATTTGTTAACAAACAGGCATCTGTTTTCCTATGGGAAACAATAATATTATGATTACATATTTTAAAAAGGGCCATCTGTTCTTAAACCCATTTCGAGGTAAACTATCTTAATTACTCTTTTACTAATATTTACAACAGACACCCTTTGTGCTCCCGCGACGTCACCATATGCCCTTGTGCTCCCACGACGTCACCATATGCCTGATTGTACTGAATATAAATAGGACGCTGTAAAATTATTAGTTAGTTCTTACTCAACCACCAACTACGAAAGATGTAGCTAGGTTTATTATAATAAATACATTTTTAAAAAGTCTTCCCGTCGTCTAAATTGTAACAGTGGCGCAGTCGGTAGGATAGCTAGGAAGTGACTTCAGGCTCATCGCGAGAAGAAGCCAGCCCCATCAGCGTACCCGTAAAGTTGCTGCATACAACCAAGGGAGCGGAAAAAATGAAAGCTGTGGTCCTGCTAATGTAAGTCCTCACATATTTCATTCCGTTAACTGATTGGGTATAACCTTCCTTGTCTTCCCATTTTTATATATTTTGTGTTTTGTTCGCGATCCTTATATTCTTATTAAAATTGAATTAAGATCGGGAAAAATGGCAACGGGATAAGACGATAAAATTGAAATTAAAGTTGAACCCCTAATTGCAACGGGTCAATTATTAAATATAATACCAAAATTTAGTGAAAACTCTAAAAATTTAAATTGTTTTATTTCGAACTGTAAAACTGCGCAAAAACTTGCCAGTCCAGTTCAAGCGCAAATATTATTACCACACGCTATAGCCCAGCTAGAGGGAAAAGCGGCGGCTTTTGCTAATAGTCGATCTTTCGACAATTTAACACATTTCTTAGATGAACTAAGTCAACACTTTAAAAAAAAACGCAACATTAGCGAATTATTATTAGCGTCTCAATATACTAGACAAAAGGGATCTATGAGTCGTTACGTTGATTCATTCAACGAAATTAGAGATGAATTGTTATCAAATGAAATTATATTGAATGATAGATATGGAGTTTTGAAAAGCGAATATGACAAAATTCTTTTGAATAATTTCCTTGTAGGTTTAGAACCTAATTATTATAATAAAATTAGATTAGAGAAACCCAGGAGCACCGAAGAAGCATTTAACTTAGCTCTTGAGGAAGAACGTTCATTGAATTACTATAATAATGTTTTAAATAAATTTTCTGAGCTAAAGGTAAATAAAAATGAAACTCAAAGCTCTAAACCGAGGCTTTCTCAGCCTTCCACCAGCGGAATAAATAACAATCGCAACAACTTCAACCGTAATAATCGTTTTTGTAGTTTTTGTAAAATTCCTGGCCATACACAAGAATATTGTAGAAAAAAGAATGCACCTGTTGCATCAACATCACGCGAAAATTTTGATAATAGACGTCGCGTAAATAATTTAAACGATGTGACGGAAGTCGAGGCCGAGCAGACGACTTCCGGCGACGAAGCGGAAGCCCTGTTGAACCTGCTCGAGTACTCATAAATAACGTAATTTTACCAAAGCGTAATAAGTTGCTTTTTATTAGATATAAAATTGATCAAATAGAAATAAAATTATTGATTGACACAGGCGCTGCAATCTCTACAATAAATTCAACTATTTCAAATTCCTTAACAAATATAAAACTTCATAAAGAAAACATTAGTATAAAAGGAATAGGAAACGAAAAATTTACTTGTTCCGAATATATAGAGTTACCTATACCTTCAGGAAAATATAAACACAAATTTTATGTTATAGACCTTCAAACTCCTTATGACGGAATCTTAGGGTTAGATTTTCTAAAACGATTTAAAGCCAAAATCAATACAGAAAATAATGAAGTTCAATTATTAAAGCCTACTGAAAATCAAATAGAAAATAAAGAAAATTATTCGGGAAAACGGATCATATTATCGGGTCGAACTGAACAAATAATACCGATCCATATAAAAAATGTCGCTGAAGGCGAATGCTTACTGGAATCAAGCAAAATAAATGATAAAATTATTTTACCAAACGCACTTATAAATGTTAAAAATCACATCGCATATGTGTCGTGTATAAATACCGTTTGTCAGAACACGGAAATGGATATTCCTGTTCTTAACGCAAATCGTATTAATTTAAATGAAATTCAAATAAAAACATCAAAATATGATCTTGTTTTTACCTTGTCAAGTAACGGCAAATAATGAAATTTATGAAAAACTAATAACATATTTTCCGACAGAAATAAAAAATTTAAAAGGAAAATTAAAAACAATTAAAGTTGTTCCAGATCCATATACAATAAATAGAATATATTACTTATGTTTCGATAGAAACACAAACTCAGATTCGGAAATGCTAGAGAGTTTCTATAAAACATTAATTGAATTAAAAATAGCATTGATTGATAAAAATGTTACGGATACAACATTGTTTATATATATTCCCGAAACAACATCGCACGATCGCGAATATGATCGAGAAATCGCAAAACAAGTATTATCATATGTTTTCCACGAAAATAATTATAAATTTGTGATTTGTGAATTAACGGATCAAATAATAATACCACCTGAAAGTCAAAGACAAAAGATAATATCTTACTATCATGACTCGAGATTTGCTGCACATAAAGGCATGGATGAAACAATTAGGAGAATCAAATTAAAATATAAATGGAAAAATCTGACTTCAGACGTAAAAGATTATATTAAAACTTGTGATACTTGTCAAGTAAATAAAATCGATAGAAGAAATTGGTCACAACCATTTGTAATATTATCTAGCGTAAATAAACCATTAGAAAGGATAAACGTAGATATAATTGAATTTGGTAAACAAAACGAAAAGATTTATGCACTTACTATTATTGACGAACTTACTAAATACTTAGCTGCGTATATATTAAAACAAAAATCAACTACAGAAGTAATAAAATCATTATTGTGTTATTGCCAACATTTAGGCATACCTCTTCGTTTTCATTCAGATTTAGGAGCTGAATTCGTATCTAAAGCCATGAAGAAAGTTTGTGAAATCATGGAGATTCAAAAATCAGAAGCGCTAACGCAATTTCCCCAGTCAAATGGAGGCATAGAAAGGGTACATGCTACAATAAAAGATTCTATGCGATGTTTAGTAGCAAACTCTAAAATACCTTGGGATTTAGCACTTAGCATAGCTGTAATGACTTATAATAATTCAAAACACTCATCAACAGGTTTTACACCTAGTGAGTTAATGTTTGGTGAAAGTAGAGACCATTTAAGAAGTATAACCACAGATAAAACTACCGATTTTTATTATAAAACGTTATCAAGCAAGTTACATAAGCAAGCAAAGGAAAGTAATATAAAAAGCAAAGAGCGAAGCTTAGCCAGAGTAAATAGCAAACGTAAGGGCCATACTTACAAAATAAAAGACCTCGTACTTTACAATGATAAGAAGAAAACAGGCACCAGGATTAAATGGACAGGTCCTTACGAAGTTATAAAAGTTTCATCTAGAACAATAAGTATTTGTATAAGTAGAAATAAGTTATTAACGGTATCTATCGATAACGTGAAACCTTATTTTCGTCGTTCTATTTCAGATGCACAACGGCCGTCTACATCGTCGGCGCCAACATAGAAAAAATAGGGAAAAATCCGGGGTTATTTATGAACCCTATAGGTGAAATTTATAATACGAATAGCGAATGGAAATTAATTACTTTTAGAGATTATAATAGCGTAGTTAAAGCGTATGATAAGTTAAAACCAATAATATTAGAATTATATAATATAGAGATAGCACAATATACTAAAAATCATACTGTTCATTTTAAACCTTTAATAAAGACATTAAGTTTAGACATAGAATCAAAGCTTCATAGTTTACCTAGTTATAATCATGATAATAATAATAATAATAGAGTTAAGCGTGGTCTTATTAACCCTCTTGGGTCAGTATTAAAAACTTTGTTTGGAACAATGGATAACGAAGACCGAAAAAAATATTCTAACTTAATAAAACAAATACAAAATAATCAGATTAAAACGCAGTCTATAATTAAACAACAAATGCACGTAACTATGTCAATTATGGGATCTTTTAATAAAACTCTTCAAGATTTAATGTTAAATGATAAAATAATAAAATATAACATGCTTCTCATTAAAGATTACATTCTGAAGAATGCTGTCAAAATCGCTGATTTAGAATTAAAACAAAAAGTTTTTGAACTTCATGAATACATTCTCGACAATTTGATTGTAATAAATAGCAAATTAGATGAACTTATGAACGCCATAGATTCCTCTTACTCCGGTATATTACCTTCTAATATATTAAGTAATATAAATTTGGTTCATGAATTAAATAAAAGTCCAAATGCTGGAAAATTCATAGAGAGACCTAGCATTAATAATGTTCATAGTATAATAAAAACTAGTAAATATAAAGCCTATTTAGAAAATTTTATGTTTGTGTCTATCATGGAAATTCCTTTAGTCGACGAAGAACCTTTTCTTTCATATCAGATATTATCCCTTCCTGAAAAAGACCCCAATTCCTCTCTTTATCATACCCTTTTGGTGCGGAATAAGTATGTAGGGATTACTACAGACCGAAGATTCTACACGACGCTTGACGACCTCACCAACTGTGAAGCCTTCGGAGACGAGAAACTCATCTGTCGAG